AATTTTGAGTTTGTGTGTATAAAAAAAAGTATTTATAAATAGCTAAAAGTAAAATAACTATATTAACTAACTATATCCCATTACTATTTAATAAGAGAATAACATATTGTGTTTAGTTCAACAATAACCAAATAATGATACTAATAAATGATATTGATGATAATAGTTGTATTGGTAATAACAATTAGGTATAGGAATGACAATGGATAGGATATAGGTAGAGTGCTATAGTACTAATTCTCATACACGCGTTTTAAAAAAATATTCGTACCTAATTTCATACCCGCGTGGATAGTAATTTTAATCCACATACCTGTATCTTTTTATTACCCGTACTTGTCTAAAAAAATAATACTCATAAGATATATATATATATATATATATATATATTTACATAAATAGTATAATACAAAAGTTTGATGCGGATCTTTCAAACAAAGTTTAAGCATAGAAAGAAAACAAATATTTAAATATTACAAGTGTTAAGTATATCTTAATAGATTAACTTTGTAAACTAAAGTACTTAAAAATTATAAGGAAAATTTCATACATAATCTTCAAGATGTCTAAAACAATCAACTCACACAAACTTGAGAATCATGTATTGTCACTCCCAAAGACTTAAAAAAAAAAAAAAAGAACATTAGTTAATTATTTATTAAAAAATAAAAATAAAAGATATAGTTAGGTTATTTTATCTCTTTATCAAAATAAGACTCTCCAAATAAATGCTTATCTTTTAAGTTTATATATTGCTTTGGTCTAGCAATGCCAATAGAAGCTAAAACATATAAGTACATAACAAGAATCAAGTTTTATATCAATCATGTAATAATTAAATTATATTAGACTAGTTAAATGATATAAAATAGTAAATAAATTTTTCTATTAAAAATATTAAAAAATATTATTCTTATAGTTTACTTTATTGGTAAATATATTTTTATGTTAATCTTATAAAACAAATTTAATTAGATAGATTCTTATACCTTTAAATATGAATTCTATTATTTGAGTAATATAAATATTTATATTAAATTTTTTAACCTTTTATTTTGCATAAAAAAAATTTGAAAATAAAAAATTATAAATTGAAAGATAATATTACTCAAAAATAAAAAATAAAAAATTTGTCTATTCAAAAAAATAAAATAATTATGCTTATAAAAGAACTCTAAACTAAATAAAAAATATAAGACATGAAATTACACAAAATAAATAGTGAAATCTTTATCTTGACAAAAATTTTATAAAATCCATAAAAGCTTTCTAAAAATTAAAAGTAGGTTAGAATCTTTTTTTCTTAAATTCTTAGTTACTCCATTGTAAGTAAAAAATTGTTCAAATAAAATTATATGAAATTAGAACAAAGATAATTGAAAATATCAATAATAATTATAATAGAGTTTTAGGCTCACTTGTTAAAAATTTATCTTTATATGAAAGTTGTCGTACTTGATCTCTAAATTCTATAAAAAATGATAGGTTAAATATTTCTTTGTAAGTCACACTCCTAAAATACAACTCTCAATAAGGTCATTTGTATAATAACTTATATGATTACATAATTGTCAATGACTATAGAAAGAACCTAAACCAAATATATAAAGTATTAAGTATAAACTCTAATTCTTTCCCAAATATATGTATATATATATATATATATATATATATATATATATATATATATGTGTGTGTGTGTGTGTGTGTGTGTGTGTGTGTGGGTACTTAGGTACCCATCCCCATAACCATATCCATTTAACGGATAAATATTCTATCCGTTGAAGGTAAATTTTGTAGGTAGTGTTAATTACTCCTCCGTCTCATATTATGTATTGTTTAAGATTTTCTTCATACAAATTAACAAATGCAATTAATTTTTTTATTTTCATTTCTAACTTCCTATTATACCCCTATTACTCATTGACTAATTAATAACATATGATACTATAAACCTTAAATATCACCCCACCAGATTACAATGCCATTAAAATCCAAAATTTACTCCACTACTCCAATTGTCAAAGAGAGAAAAGTGAAATTGTGTTATATCCTCATTAATTTACTTTCTCTTTTTAATTGCCTACTGGTACTACTACAATTTATGATGATTTAGGCTTAAAAATATTCCTTCCATTTTATTTTCTGATTGGCGCCATATATATCCTCATCAAACAATTTATTTGCCACAAAATTTTTTTAATTTGAATGTTAAAAAATTTAGAGGTGACCACTAGGTAACCCCACTATATATTCTTCTTCATCCATGTTCACAAAATCAAAGGAGCCATTGTTCCTTTCAACATGGGTTAAAAGCATAAATTACCATTACTTGATTTAGATTTGAATTTATACATTCAGGTTTAAATATTGATGCACCAATTTACCAAAAAAATATTAATGCACCAAAAAATTTAATTTCTAACATCAATGTTAACATTATTCCAAATTCAATTCCTGACATCAGCTCAAATGGCATTTGATTTGAATCAATCAGAAGATATATAATCATCATTATGTCCAACTCAAATGGCATTTGATTTAAATCAACCTGATGTAGATGGTGACCTGTACAAAATTTTAGATGCTTCATTCGAATATTCTTCAAGTAATTGTCTATTATTGAATTTAGCTAGAGAACTATCTATGGAGAATGCTGCTAAGATTGATGCACATACAGAAATGGGACTGCACCTATTGTCATAGCAGAACTTGGATTATGGTATTAATCAATTTATTCAATTTTTTGTGTTACTTAAATCATTTTTGCATTCAATATTTTTATACTAATAATTTTCTTTAGCATGGAGTATGTAATTGTAATTTATTTACTTTTCTAATTCATCATGGAGATCTGTATCTTCCTAAATTTTAATTATTATCATTATATTTTTCTTCAAAATTTAATCTATAAATGTATTCAATTTTTTTCTTATATGTTATTAAGAGAAAATGTTAACAATGGCATGACAAGTTTGGATTTACCATAAGCTCATAGAAATCCTGCAAATCAAAAATATTTGAGCAATTATGAGAAAAGGATCATATATGAGGCTTTATTAGAGAAGAGTGTTGATGGACAATTAAAAAAAGGAATCACTAAAATGATGGCGTCACAGTTTTAAATTTTTATATGCACTGTTCAGCGCGTTTGGAAACAAACCGAAATTAAAAGTGACATGCTTATGTGTCCCATGTGACATCTAGGCGTTAGGCAAGGGAGGGGAGTGATCGCCAGTGCAATGTGTAGCACGGACAAGGAGCAGCTTCTGGCAGGCTTTCAGCGGTGAAGGACATATGAATGAATCAAACTTACACTAGAATGAGAGGGATCCAGAGACTGTGTATACAGTTGAGGATAGTTTAAAGGAATTGCTTATGAGTACTTATACCAACAAAATGTATTTACTTTTCGGTGGCCTATCACTTAAAAATTCCTAAGTTAAGCTTAACTTGAAAAAATTATGGGATAAGTAACCTTCTAGAAAGTTCCTGAGAAGTATGTGAGTGAGGACAAAGCACATTGAAAAGTCTTGTATTGGTTTGTAGGGACAGTCATCAATCCCGAATGAATTGCTGGGCTGTTACATTCCACAAAAAGACAAGAAATTGTGGCCACAAGAGAGCTGAACTTGATTTAGCTCAAATTCGTGAGATCCCTTTGCACCGAAGAACAATTAATAGGTTTCTTGCTTCTGCATTGAACATAAGCAAGACCACACTATGTAGGTATTTAAAAGTCGGGAGTCATACAAAAACATTCAAATGCTATAAAGCCTTCTTTGAATGAAGAGAATAAAAAAGATAGATTGCAATTTCGCTTATCGATGCTTGATAATTTTAGCATGCCAAATGATTCAATTTTCTTAGGAACGTATAACGTGGTTCATATCGATGAGAAGGGGTTTTACATGACAAAAAGGTGTAAGAATTACTATCTACTGCTAGATGAAGATGATCCCTTACGAAGTTATAAAAGCAAAAACTTTATCGTAAAGGTAATGTTTTTACATGCCAAGGTTTGATGCGAATAAGAATGAGCTCTTTTCTAGAAAAATTGATATATTTCCTTTCGTCACACAAGAATTGGCTAAAAGGACTAGTGTTAATAGAATTGCAGGTACACTAGAGACTAAATCGATAACTACAATTAAAAAAGAAGTTATAAAGAGTTACTTGATTCAAAAATTCCTAATGGTCATCAAGGCCAAATGGCCAAGAGAAGAGATGAGTCATCCAATATTTATTCAATAAGATAATGCAAGAACACACATTGACTGTGATGATGAATAATTTTGTTGATTATCTTCACAAGATGGATTTGATATTTGTTTAATGCATCAACCGACAAACTCTCTTGATTTGAATGTCTTAGATTTTGAATTTTTTTAATGCAATTTAGTCCTTACAGAATAAAGAATCTCCCAAAACTATTGATGAACTTGTGAAGGCCGTGGAAGAGTCATTTGAAGCATTTTCATATGAAGTCAAATCATATATTCTTATCATTGTAGGAATGTATATTAAATCATGAAAGCAAGAGGTTCCCTCAAATACAAAATTTCACATTTGAAGAAAGCAACTTTAGAAAGTAAAGGAGAGTTGCCTAGGCAATTAAAATGTGATCCTATATTAGTTCAAGATATTATTCATTATCTAGAATATTAATTGACTTTTAATTCATATGTTCACGTTATGAACATTATTATGAATGAAGTTTTTATTTTACATATAAAAAAATATTTGCTTAAAGCTTTATGTAAAATTTTTATTTTACATATAAAAATATATTACTTAAAGCTTTATGTGACTTATACAATTTGTCCCATACATGTAAAACTCGATGAATATACTAAAAAATAGAACCATTCAGATAATAGTGACATAATAACAAAAAGTCACCTGTGAACATGAGTTACAGAAAAGATATCCCAGCTAACTGATTCTAGTATAATAGCATCATGTATATCTCTCCCAAAAAACTAGATTAGCTAACTTACAAAAGAATTGGTCAATTGCAAATAATAAGGCCTCCACCCAAAATAGTGAACCAGACTCCCAAAAAATTGGCCCTTTTACTTATGCCAATAACAAACCAAAAGCACCTTTTCACTTATGCCAATAAAAAATTCACCTCGAACCATCATTAATCTTTTCACTTCATCTGAAATACAAAAATAAAATTTTAACCAGGATAGCACAAATTGGTTTAATTATTCTTCAACATCATAGTTAGGTTCATCTCCTAGGACTTTGTTCAAATCGAACAAGAACACTTCCTTCCTAGCCGATGTCGATGTTGCACTTGAACCTTCAACGATTTTCAACATATTTGGGTTCACCTCCTACTCCTCCGCCCTTGAACCTTCAACCATCTTGATAAGCATGTTTGTGTTTAACTCCTTCTCGTCCTCCGTCACACATGAACCTTCAACCGTCTTCACCATGTTTGAGTTTATCTCCTCCTCTATTGTTTGGTGCAAGTCTAAAGGGGAGACACCTTGCTCGCACTTAATAGAATCTACAACCATTGCATACAAAGCATCCTTGCCAACATCTTCTTCCATCAAAACATGTTCCTTCCCTTTTTCCATAGAGAAATATTCAAGTATGCCAAAACAAGTGAGAAAGAATATGTTGTTTTCTCCAACAGACGAAACACATGAATATATAAAACAACTAAAGAATACTAATAAAATAGAATGTCAAAAGTTTTTCATTAATCGAGCATATGCTAGGACTATACATTGAAAACTTTCAACTGCTATTATTAAAAGTTATTATTGTACAACAACTAATGAAATCTAGAAAATTGCTTAAAGGGTATTTTAGGTAGAAACAAGTTAATTCATCAATGAAAACGCTAAAACGTCAAATATTGTGGGACATTTTTTTTTCCTTCCAAAATGTCACTTATTGAGGGACAGATGGAGTAATAATTATGGTGATAATAATTAAAAAAGTGATTATTATGATGATAGAAATTATGATGACAATAAAGTGACTGAAGAAGAAATTACGAAAGTGGTGATCAATAATGGAGTTAAAAGCCATGACAACATTAATAGTTAGGGTGCACTAGTAGTATAAAGGTAAATGGTCACGGTTGTTGTGACAATCATGACCGAAGGAGGTAGTGTCAAAAATTTATGGTAATAACAATGGTAGTAAGTGGTAAGGATACAACATAATAACAATCAAGTCTTATTTTACTAAGTGAGGACAATTATATGAATCCCACAACATTATTGAACTTCATCAAAAACTAAATTTTAATAATGATAAATAATCAGGGTGATTAAAGAGAAAATAAGAGATAGTAGTCATGGCAATAAAAATAATGATGATAATAACAATCAATGATGGTAGTGCTTGCGATAATTAATGTTAATGGTGAGAGTAATAGTAGTAGTAATGATAATAGTAAAGGTGGTTACAATGGTTAAAACATCTAAATGGTTGATAGTTGGTGCTCAAGATAACTAAAAAATAACAAAAAAAATTGGTGATTAATGATGGTAGCTATAATAATGTTAGTGACCATTGTTGATGATAATAGTTATAGAGACAATAATGATAAAAAAAATGGTAACAATAGTTATAACAATGCAATATAATAAATGTAGTGACAATAATAGTTATGGAGGCAATAGCAACTATAAACAATAATTAATGATAATAATAACAACAATATTGACCATAATTCATAATAATAACAATGAAAACATATTAGTTTCTTAGGAGAGATGAGATAATTAAATCATTTTTTATACAATTAAAAGTAAAAACTTAAAATAACTTTTTTTTTAATTTTTAGTTTCAAATTGAGTTAAATTAATTTTAATATTAAATTAAAAGTTAATTCAACTCCATTTTAGTCAAATACATTTTTTAAATTTTGCATTTAAAAAATCAAAACTTAAAAACTTGTAACCATTCAAGCCCTTCCGGTCAATTTGTTACCTGTTAGTATGAATTTATGTAATGGAAATTGAGTTTGGTATTTTTTTTTAAAAAAATTACAAAAAATAAGCACTTTTATTTTAAATAAGAATGGGCAGAAAATATGAATTTTACTACTAATCCATTTATGAGGTATGTTAAAGGGTGAGTTTTTTTTTAAGAAAAATTGATAAATTTTGCATTTTAAATTAAGAGAGTTATATAATATTGATAACGAAAGATTATAACATTATGTTTAATTTAATATATTATTTTATTTTTCATTTTAAAAATATCAACTTAAAGAATATTTATGAAAAATAAAATATTTATTTCTCTCTTTTTTTTAATCTCAACTCCCAAACACGTGTTAAGAAGGGATTTGTTGTGAGTGAGATTAAGTATGCAGAGGCCTAAACGTATATAGAAAAAAAAAAAAAACGAAAAAGTGAAATATGCATATAATTTAACAGCCCGCTTATCGCCATCGGTCATTATATTTCATATAATTTGATTTTGGATTTGCAAATATTTGATAAACAATTTGCTTTAATGCATAAATAGACACATTTTGGACGGTGAAGAGTAAAAAAAAAAAAAAAACGCGTAGAATACTTGAAACTTTCTCTCGTGCATATGACCTAAAAAAATTTGAGGTTCAAAATGGTGACATGTTTTGTTGGTAGAGTGTTGCCACCTAATTAAGGTTGATACGCAGTCCAACATCGTCCAACAGAACACAATGTTCACATGAATGCACGTTTGCTACTTTGTTTTGGTCAAATCTTTTAAATTCTTACGTTCTGCTTACATTTTCTTCTGTCCACACCTCTTCGAATCCAAGTTTTAAGACTAATTTGTAATAAAAAAAAATTTGAGTTATTTATTTTAAATAAACATTCTTTTGATTTATATTTAAGATGATAATATTAATTTTTAAAATTAATTTTAAGAATTTAAAAAATGATACAATTATTAAAAACTGAATATTTATTAATCAAAAATAAAAAATATAAAAAGTGTATAACTACTTCCTTTCTCAATGAAAAATTTATTTTTATGCGTTTAAAACTATCCTTAAAATACATCATTTATATTCCATGTAAAATCTTTTTTAAGTATTTGTTAATGTTAGCATATAAAATTTTAAAAATAAACAATGCATTAGTAAAAAAAATAAGGACAATCATATCGATTTAGTAAAATTATTAATAAATAAAATGTCCTTAAAAGATTAGGAACCATTTGTTTTTTAATTCGCTTAAGAAAATGTGATTGAAGAAGGGCTAATAATTGGGTTAGAGGATGACCATAGAAAATACACGTAACCCAGTAGAATTTGAGATTCAGATCTTCTCCCAAGTTGCTGGGGCCATAAAGCTGTAACACTATACAAGTCATATTTGAGTTGTAGACCTTTTTATCTAAGCACATAAAACTAAAAATCCAAGCCACCAATATGTGTGGCTCCTAATTCTTCTATATTGTGAATCACACTATCGTCCAATTCTAAACCACTGGCTCTCCAATTTACACACAAATATCCCTTTTTCACAACCAATATAGAACCATCTATCTCAGGCTTTAAGAGGCTAATACAAAGAACATCTACTTTTATATTCACATAACAAACCACATATAGATAAAGATATGGCTACTTCAATTTCTGCAACTGGGTTTAAGGGCTGTGTTGGTTCCTCCTTCTATGGAAGTTGGGGCACTTCTATGGTTGGTGAAGATTACACCATGCTGACTAAGTCAGTGCCATCACAAGTGCGCATGGGAAGAGGAAAGCCAATGAGGTTGCAACCGATGATGAAGAATGTTAATGAAGGGAAAGGTATCTTTGCACCTATTGTGGTTCTCACCCGTAACATCATTGGCAAGAAGCGTTTCAATCAGATTAGAGGCAAAGCCATTGCCTTACACTCCCAGGTGAATTTGAATGTTCTTCTTGTCAAGAGTTTTTAGTGTTACCCTTTTGTTTAATTTGAGATTTTTGCATGTGGGTTGGTGGAAATTTAAACTTAGAACCATGGTTCATGTTCTATCATTGATGTAAATTGGGCTAATGTCATGTGTTTGGTTTATCTGTTTCAAGCTTGGTTTAGATTGAACGATTTGGAATCTTTTGAAACAGAAGCAAAAGTAGAATGTTATGAAAGAGAGATGGAATTGAAAAACAGTAAGCATGTAGAAAGGTTAAAAATAAAGGATCAGAGAACAATTAGATTTGACTATACTTGACTCTCTTTTTGAGTTGTTCATTTGGTCTGAAATTTGTTAAACATAGTTGGTGGATTTGGAATTTTAAAGATAAGTTGAATTCATGGGAAATGGACTATACTTTTCATGTAGTCCATATCTTGAATGACCAGTTAGAAAACACTAATATGTTAAGGTTTCTAAGACTGAGAAAGGAGGGAACAATTGCTGAATTTCAAGTCCATAATTACCATTTATTCCTACAAATTACCCCAAAAAAGAAATTTAAGATTTAATTTAAGTAAAAAAGAAAAAGAGATTGAGAATTTTGTTCAAGCAACTGTTTTAAAATGTTAACTATTTTATATGAATAATATGATGTAACCATGTAACATTTTTTTGTACTGAACTTCCAAAATTTGAAATGGTAGGTGATTACGGAATTCTGCAAATCAATAGGTGCAGATGCAAAACAGAGACAAGGGTTGATCAGGTTGGCCAAGAAGAATGGAGAATGGCTTGGCTTTCTTGCATGATAGATTGATAAACAAATGTTCCCACATTTTGTAATTACCATGTGAGGAAGTGTCAAGTTTAAACTTGATGGTTTTCAATTGACAGCAAAATGTAAAACTAGGAGGAACTCATCTCTAGTTGTGATTTTTCATTCTTAAGTAATCCTTCTCTTATTTTGTTCTCTAGATACATGAAATATTATAAAACCAGAGCTTGTCTATCAATTCAACGGTGATACAAGGAAAAAAAAACAATGTTATTAATTTATACAGCATATTTTTCACAATTTTTTCATAGCCTTTTCTGTGAATCATTGATAAGAAAAAAATAAATTATCCCGTTTTAACTGTTATCCTCATTCTTCTACGCACTCGCATCATATTCCCAAAATATGTGATCATATGCAACTTGATATATTGATATCCACTTTGCTCTGTGGTTGATCAGATTCAATTACACTTTTTTTTAACTAATCCTATGGTAATATATCCTCATTATGAAATAATGTCTTCCCTTTTTGAAGTATAGTTCTTTGAATCTCAAAATATAACCAAGAGTCCTTGCAAATTAATTAGTAAGCCTTTTTACCCAAATAATATAAATTAAAAAATATAAAATCTAAATAATTTATATGACTAAATAATTTTGTTTCGGAACTAAGAAAATTTTTAAAAAATAAAAATTCTAATTACTGATGTTATAGTAACAAAACTGTCAATATTTATTTATATTTTTTAATTTCAAGTTTCGTCATTGAAACATACAAAATATATAGTGAATTTTCTTTTTTAAAAATCAAAATTTCATCATTCAAAGTACCCAAACTGTACAGAAAAAAAAAACTGATAATGAAAGTATTGCCTTTTTAATCAAATTCAGATATTAATGATGCATTGATGTTATCTTCTATGTATAGTTCTTTGTATAACAAAATATAACCAAGAGTGTTTGCAAGCTAATTAATAATCATGTATGTTTTGATCGTGGCCTCCAGCAGTCACATACCAACTATGAAACTTTACTAAAAAAATCAAAATGGGTATTTATAAAAAAGTGCTAATCTAGGAAGCAGACAGTAACTAACATACTAATTTTCACACAAGAGAATCACTAGTGTTAGAGCATCTTCAACAATAGTACCTTAAATTATTTTCACAAATAAGAAATGGTAACGTTGTATGGTTGGAACAAATTGAAGCTTCAGTTCAAAAAGTATTATTATACACCACACGGTGATAGCTCTAGCAATTCTGCTTCATATCGCATGATAATTGGTTTAGACTATTGATACGTAGAGCTGGCAAATAAAAATAAAATCCATAGGTTGACCCTTAAAATTTTATAATTGGCCCCATTTTTTATTAGCCCATTTTATAACAGGACTGTCTAGCCCTAACCCATAAATAAAAGTGGGTTAAAATATGAAGTATAAAGGCTGGCCCGTCGGTAACTTTTATTGGATCAAATTTTTCTAAGCTTGAACTCTACTATTTTGCAGTCCCAAACCAGAAAAGGATTTTGTAAGCTAAACCCTAATTTTAACAATTTCTTCAGCCCCAAAAGAGAAAAAGAGAACAGATTGGAACAATGGAAAGCATCGGGAGTCATAGTGTTTGAATGCAACTTGGAGGTAATAAATTATTTATGATGTTTCCACATATTTTAACTTCTCTTGCTTGAAAATTTATGCTTAACCTTGATGTTAGATGCAATTCTGCAGCAGTAATATTTTTGGAACGGTGCTTTTTGATGTAGATATGATTTTTTTTCCGCAACTTTCGTTTATAATTCAACATGCAGCTTTCGGTTCTTTTAATGGAAATATGGAATGTTAAATTTGTCTTATTACTAGTTATTTGCTGAACGTCGGTACAAAATTCAGATACAATTTGTTGACATGTTATAAATTTGATGCACAACCTCTTCAATTCTCTTGCTAATTTAGATGGGCCACAATAAAAAAAAATCCTGTAGAAGAAAATCCATACTTTTAGTTTGGAGATAACAATTTATCCTATTTTTTTTTTTCTGTGTGTGTGTGTTTGGAGATAAAGATTTTGAGTAAAGCAATAGTCCCTAAAGTATATATGTGCATTTCAATTATTAAATAATGTACAAATTTGGATATTTTCTCACTAATCTTAGCCCCTCCATGCTTGCGAGCCAATCTGGAATATGTTAAACCAATTTGGTCGAGCAAAATGTGTGTATCTGAAAATTCTGATAACAAATTTAGGTTTAATCGAGCAATAGCAAACCGTATGTGCAATCTTGATATGACAGGAATGATTCATTTTTTAAAAAACAATTTTTGATTGATATGTATTTGTTAGGATTCTTGGCTTATGTGTAATGTGGGTAACATATTATTTTATTAGAAATTGTTTTGGATTGATGTCACCTTGTTATGTACCAAATGATCTTTTGTGTGAATACCTAACTGAAACACTTTCTTGTATAATTGAATGCAATTTTAATATAATAAGAAATTGCATTGATATTTTAGTATTGAGAATTTTGTCCCTTGAACAGAAATTGCAACTTTGACTTGTTGTGCATAATAAATTTCTCTTACATTGATATTATAAGGTTTTTACTTGCAATGCATTTGTAGTAAATATGTGTTATTTTTTTTTACATAAGTCTTTTGGTATATAAAATAGATGGATATTGATTATAATTTTTTAAAATATAGAATTTTATTATGGAGTTTGCAAATCAACATGTAAATATGGAAGATGAAGTTGTTTCTGAAACTCCAATCACTTTTTCTGAAAATGCTGAGTCAGCAAAGAAAGAGACTTCAAATGTGTGGAAGTTTTTTTCAAAAATTGGTAAAGATAAGGATGGTGTGGAAAGAGCTGCATGTAATTTTTGTGAGCGTGATTATGCAATTGGTAAAAATCACAAGTCAAAAACAAACTATGGGACTTCACATTTAAGTCGTCATATTTCTGTTTGTAAAGGGATTTCAAACTCGAATCTAAATGTGAATGAGATGTTATCTAATCCAAAGTCCAACATGACACAAATTAATCAAAAGATCCACCATGAGTTGCTTGCCAAAGCTATAATTCAGCATGATCTTCCCTTTAATTTTGTGGAATATGAGAGTATTAGGGAATGGATAAAGTATTTAAATCCAAGTGTTGTGATGCCTTCTAGGAATACTGTTTTGTCAGATATTAAAAAAGTATATACTATAGAGAAAGATAAACTCAAGCAAATTTTATTTAAAATTCCCAATAGAGTGTGTTTGACTTTTGATGTTTGGACAGCTTCTACCACTGAAGGATATATTTGTTTGACAGCACACTTTGTAGATGATAAATAGAAATTAGTCAGTAGAATTCTTAATTTTTGTCAAATGAAGCCTCCACATACTGGATCTGAATTAGAAGCTATACTATTTGATTGTTTGAAATACTGGGGAATAGACAAAAAGTTATTTTCTATCACTTTAGACAATGCTTCTGCTAATGATAGTATGCAAGATATTTTGAAAGCTCATCTTCGTTTGCAAAATAGTTTATTGTGTGATGGTGAATATTTTCACATTCGTTGTTCTGCTCACATACTTAACTTGATTGTCCAAGAGGATTTGAAAGTGGCTGGTGAAGCACTTTACAAAATTAGAGAGAGTGTTAAGTATGTAAGATGATCAGATGGAAGAATGATTAAATTTAAAAATTGTGTGCAAGAAGCTGGTATTGATAAAAGTATTGGTTTACGATTGGATGTCTCAACTAGGTGGAATTCAACATATTTAATGCTTGAAAGTGCAATAAAATACGAAAGAGCATTTGATATTCTTAGTGACAAATACAAATTATAAATGTTGTCCATCAGAAGAAGAATGGAAAAGGGGAGAAAAGATGTGTGAATTTCTAGAACCATTTTATGAGACAACTAACATGATATCATGTTCTTCTTACCCAACCTCAAATTTATATTTTTTGCAAGTGTGGAAGATTGAGTGCATATTAGATGAAAACTTGGTTAATGATGATGAGGTGATAAAGGAAATGTCTGTAAGGATGAAAAAAAATTTGACAAATATTGGAAAGAGTATAGTGTGGTATTGACTTTTGGAGCTATTCTTGACCCACTGTTGAAATTAGATTTTATACTATTTTGCTATACCAAACTTGATTGGTCAACCTCTGAATATAAGGTTAAGAGTGCGAAGAAAAAGTTTGAGAAATTGTATGAAGAGCATGTGAGTGATCATTTCAATACACCAAGTTCTTCTCAATCTCAACCATTAACTGAATCTAATATGTTGGACAAGGCAAGTGATGAAGGAAGTAGGCACAAGCAATCAAAAGTATTCAAGGTATTTTTTAATGTTTCTTTATTAAATTTATACTTCTATTATTATCTTGTTTAAGTAATTAATATGTTATATATTGCAGGAGTTTAAAAAGTTTCAAAGTGAAACCAAATCTAACATTGGGAAGAGTGAATTAGATCTTTATTTGGAAGAAAAATCACTTGATTATGATGATAATGAGGATTTAGATGTGCTGAGCTATTTGGAAGAAAAAACCAAGGCTAGTGATGAATTGAAGAATGAAGACTTTTTATATTTTGTATTTTTTTTTTTGCCTGAAAGATAGTCAAACTTAAGGTGATTTTTAGGGTTGTTTTTGTTGAATACTATTATTGTTGATCCCTTTATAGATGTCACTAAGCCTTTGATGATTGAGATTGATTATATCTATTATGATTCTTTGCTTTTGATAATTTTTTAAGAGTTTTTTAAAAGTAATTTGTTCTTAAAAGATAGAATCTGTATGCTGCATTTATATATGACTGAGCCTTTGATGATTGAGGTTGATTAGATCTATTATGATTCATTACTTTTAATTTTTGTTCAGTTTGGTTAAACATGTTATTTGCATATAGCAGAAACAATTGATCTTAATAATGCATGCTGGGAAAGGAGATGAGTTGCACCTTTTTTTTTTATTAGAATGTGCAAAAAAAATAAAATTTAATTTGATATAATTTTGTGGGCTTACCCATGGGCCAATTTTAACCCACTAAACCATGTGGGCTTTTTGACCCTATGGGCTTTTTAGATTAAGGGCTGTTTAGCCCTATGGACTTTTAAGCCCTAGCCCACATGGGTCAGGGCTAAATGGGTGAGGGCTGGCCCATTTGCCAACTCTATAGATACGTCATCTTGAACTATTCAATAATTAGTTGATAGTTTGAAACTAATTAGTGGTTAAAAAAGATGAAAATTGGGATTGATTTTTCTCTTCCATTAAACTAAAATGTGAGTGATATGTAAATCTTATTTGGTGGGAAAATATGAACAGTGAAATCCATTCATATATGAATAGCCATTGGAGGTGAATCAAGTGAGCCTTTAGTGCATGAAGGCAACTATGGAAGATGGAGTCGTGTATACGCGAGGAAAAGGCATTAGAGGAGTGATTGGGTCATGATTGTTAGTTAAAGGGGGGTATTTTGAGGATGTGGAGTGAGATATTTTTGTCTTTTTTTATCTTTACGGTTATTTAGTATCAGATTGGAGAGAGAAGGGGGATCATTCTGTTTTCCATCATCATTTTGGTAGAGGATACCTCTTTTATGTGGTGACTCTAAGGAGCTTGGCTCTGGGTAGATTGGGTACCCATTCCCATCTGTTTTTCTTTTTTTTTTTTTTGTTACTTTTTCTCAATTTAACCAAGGTTCCTTGTTTCATTCAGTGCGTATATTATACTCTGTTTTTTGGTTTGCATCAATTTGGTCCGAACTGCCGGATTAGAATCAACAGTGGTGGATACCCACAACCAGGAGAATTAGAAGAAGAAGCAAAAACAGGAATCAGCGGAAATGGATACACGCTTGAGTCACATAAAAGGAGAGTTGGGTTGGGTGCGATCATCAATTGAAGAATTGCATCTTAAAGCAGCAGAGAGTAAGTTGATCATGGACCAGTTACAAAAACAACCGGAGGAACAGACGAAACTCATGGAGGCCATCTTTTTGAATATCGAAAAGAGTAGAGGTGAAAATGGCGGGGAAAACTCAGTGAGACAGAAGAAGAAGGAGAGCGAGAAATCAAAGACGAGTGTGAGCTTGAAGCCATTGGAGGGAACAACTTTGGAGGAATTCCGTCAATCCCTAAAAAAGGTGAAATTACCCATGTTTAATGGAGAGGATCCAGCTGGTTAGATTACGAGGGCTGAGATTTATTTTCGTGTTCACGAGACAAGCGAGGACGTGAAGGTGAACCTTGCATAACTTTGTATGGAGAATGGAACCATCCATTTCTTCAACGCCTTACTCAGTGATTACGACAAGTTGACCTGGGATGATCTCAAGAAAAAGCTACTAGAACGTTACGTAGGAATCGGGGAAGGAGTATTTGAGCAGTTAACTTCTCTGTGGCAAACCGGAGGGGTCAAGGAATATATTCAGAAGTTTGAATGTTTAACTTCTCAGATTCCAAAGCTCCATGATGAACAGTATTTTGCTTATTTCATCCATGACTTACGTGAAGAAATTCGTTCGAGAATGAGGAGTTTAAATGTGGTCAGTCCGATATTTCATGGAAGGATGATGAATGCCACAAAAGTAATTGAGTTGGAGCTGTCTAGCCATGGTAGAAATTGGAGTGAGAAGAAGGAGACATGTGGGAGTGGAAGATCCTATTCGGGTTTCCGAATCAACTCCAATGTACCGGGTCAAAATAACCCAAGGAGTTTTGGAGGATAAGGGGGGTGGAAATGGGCTTGGCCCAAATGTACCCGTTGATCCTAGAGAAAAAATTCGAAATGGGCCTAGAGACAAGAGGTGTTAGGCACTTGGCCTACCAAGACCTTTTGGAACATCGCCAAAAAAGGTTTTGCTTTAAGTGTGGAGGGTCCTATGGCCCATTCCACCAATGTCCTGTGAAGCAATTACGTGTAATATTACTGGATGAGAAAATCCAGGTGGCATGTGATAAGGAGGATCGTGTGTCTGGACACGAAGATGAAGATGTGGAAGCTGGATTTGATGGAGAATGCAGTGCTTTGACATCCCTCTTTTCATACTCGTTAACAATAGCGCTTCCCATAACTTTATTTCTCGAAGGTTAGTGGAGGCTATGGGATGGAGTTGGGAGGAGACAAGGTGTATGCGAATTTTGTTGGGCGATGGTCATAAGACTTTGACGTGTGGGGTTTGTCACAGTTTAGTGGTGGAGGTTGATGCATGTAGTTTTATGGTTGACGTCTATCTCTTTGAGTTGGAGGACATTGATCTAATCATAGGAATGGCGTGGTTAAGCTTGTTAGGAGAAATGCGGGAGGATTGGAAGAAGCAAGTTATGAAGATTAATACTTCCCAAGGAGAAAAGACGTTGATGGGGCTCTCACCAAGAGAACTTAAATTTATTTCTTTGTGCCACTTACGGTGGAAGTTCAGGAGAATACAACGAGGGGAGAACAACAAGAAGCCTTAGAGGGTGTTCTGGAAGAAATTGCATATGTTTTTAGGGAACCTACCGGTTTGTCTCCTCCACGAGCTCGTGAGCACAATATTACTCTCCAACTAAGAGTGGGTCTAATTAATGTGTGACCTTATCGGTACCCTCATCATCACAAAAATGAAATAGAGAGACAGGTGAAGGAATTGTTGGCAAATGGTCATATTCGATATAGCTAGAGTGCCTACTCCAGCCCAATTATTTTGGTCAAGAAGAAGAATAATCAGTGGCATATGTGTGTGGATTTCAGGGCTCTAAACAAACTTACAATACCTGACAAATTCCCAATTCCTGTAATTGAAGAGTTGCTAGACGAGTTACAGGGGGCCAAGTACTTTTCTAAACTGGACTTGACCTTAGGTTATCATCAAGTACATATGAGGACTGAAGACATACCCAAAATAGAGTTTAGAACCCATGAGGGCCATTACGAGTATCTCATAATGCCTTCTGGGCTAATAAATGCTCCCTCTATGTTCCAAGCTTTAATGAATGATGTTTTCAGGGATTATTTAAGAAAAGGGGTGCTGGTTTTTTTTTATGATATCCTTGTGTATAGTAAAGGATGGCAAGAGCATCTACAGCTACTTCAACTGGTCCTGGAGTTTGTAAGGCACAACAAGTTGTTTGTAAGACGAGAGAAATTCACTTTTGACCAGGAACAAGTTGAATACTTGGGTCATATCATCTTTGTTCAAGGAGTGGCAGTAGACCCTGCCAAGGTGAAGAGTGTTTATGAGTGGCCAAAGCCAAAGAACATGAAGGGAGTCAGGGGCTTCCTAGGCCTCATTGGCTATTATAGGAAGTTTATAAGAGATTATAGGAAGATTGCACGACCATTGACTGCTTTAACAAAAAAAGATGGATTCAAATGGGATGCTTTGTCTCAACAGGCGTTTGATGATTTGAAGAAACGCGTGATGGAAGCACTAGTGTTGAGGTTGCCAAACTTTGAAAAGTAGTTTGAATTAGAATGTGATGCTTCTGGAACAGGAATTGGACCATTTTGATGCAAAATCGTCAACCAATTGCATATTTCAGCAAGGCGTTGGGTCATAAGAATTTATCTAAATCTGCCTATGAGAAAGAATTGATGGCAGTGGTCCTTGCCATCCAACATTGGAGACCCTACCTGTTAGGAAGGAAATTTGTTGTGTTTTCATATCAAAAGAGTCTAAAACAGTTGTTAAGTCAAAGAATTTCAACAGGTAATCAACAAAATTGGTTAGCCAAGTTGATGGGGTATAATTTTGAGATAATTTATAAGTCTGGGAAGGAGAATAAAGGAGTTAATGCCTAGTCAACAAGTATGGAGGACACTGAATTGACTATTGTAATTTATTATCCTGAGTGGTTAGATTAGCAGCAATTATCTTAGGAGGTGCAGCAAGATACCCACTGGAAAAAGATTATTTTTGATTTGCAACAAGATAAGAAGGCTCATACTGGTTTTTCTTTTAATCAGGGAGTGTTGCTTCATAAAGGGAGATTAGTGGTGCATGTGTAGTCTCCTTGGATTCAGAAATTATTGGAAGAATTTTATTCTACTCCTCAGGCTGGTCATTCCGATTTTTACAAGACATACAGGAGATTGGCTTCCAATTTATTTTGGAAAGGCATGAAAGAAGATGTTAAACAATTTGTGCAAGCTTGTGACATTTGCCAACGTCAAAAGTATAGTGCTACCTCGCTTGGAGGCCTGCTGCAACCTCTTCCTATATCGGAGCAAGTTTGGGAGGATATATCAATTGATTTTATCACACGGCTGCCTCGTTCAAAGGGCTGTGAAGCTGTTTTGGTTGTTGTAGGCAGGTTGACCAAATATAGCCATTTTGTTCTGTTGAAACATCCTTATACTGTCAAGGGAATTGCTGAAATTTTTGTAAGAGAAGTAGTGAGGCTTATGGGGTTCTAAAATCTAATGTGAGTGATAGAGACCCCTTATTCATGAGTTTGTTTTGGAAAGAATTTTTTAAGCTATAGGGGACAATGCTCAAGATGAGCACAGCTTACCATCCACAAACGGATGGCCAAATTAAAGTTACAAATAGGTGTCTCGAAACCTATTTGCATTGTTTCATCACTAACTAGCCTAGAAATTGGTTCTTTTGGGTATCTTGGGCAGAATTTTGGTTCAACACGACTTACCATAAGTCTATAGGTACTACTCCATTCGAGGCATTGTACGGACGTGAGCCTCCAAAACTGGTACAATGCATTCCTAGGGAAATGAGAATGGAGTCAGCATAGAGAGAGTTGATTGATCGTGATGAAGCACTGAGACAATTAAAAACACATTTACTAAGGGCTCAAGATTGCATGAAAACCCAGGCTGATAAGCACAGAAAGGAAAGAGCGTTTGAAGTTGGTGACATGGTGTTTTTAAAACTCAATCAGCATAGGCAGCATTCTATAATTGCTAGGATTAGTCTCAAACTCAGTGCCCGCTATTATGGGCCGTTTAAAATCTTGGAAAAGATTGGAGAAGTGGCCTATAAGCTGCAGCTTCCTCCCACTTCAAGGACCATCTTGTGTTTCATGTGTCCTTGCTTTAAGAAGGCAGTGGAAAATTATGAGGTAAAGGAAGAATTACCTACTGGGCTGAAAGATGATAGAGTAGAATTCATAGAGCCTGAAGCTGTTTTAGCCTCTAGACACATGCTCAAGCATGGAGAGCAACTGAAACAATGGTTGATTCAATGGAAAGGGAAGCCCACTAAAGATGCAACATGGGAAGATGAAATTACAATCAAGTGAGCCTTTAGTGCATGAAGGCAACCATGGAAGATGGGGTCATGTTTATGTGAGGAAAAGGTATTAGAGGAGTGATTGGGTCATGATTGTTAGTTAAGGGGTATTTTGAGGATGTAGAGTGAGATATTTTTGTCTTTTTTATCTTTACGGTTATTTAGTATCAGATTGGAGAGAGAATAGAAGTCATTTTGTTTTCTATCATCATTTTGGTAGAAGATACCTCTTTTGTGTGGTGACTCTAAGGAACTTAGCTCTCCCATTCCCATCTATATTTCTTGTTTTGGTTACCTTTTTTCAATTTAACCAAGGTTCCTTATTTCATTCTGTGCGTATATTATACTCTCTATTCTTTGGTTTGCATCAATATCTATTTCTATCTTTTGTTACAGCCAAGACGGTTCAAGTCCAAATATGATTAGACTCAAAAAAAAAAAAAAAGATTTTTTTATCTTGGTTTAAAAAATGGAATAATGTTAGTTGTTTTCACCATTTAGTGTGCGTTTGGTTTTTCTAGAGAATAAAAAGTCTAACAGACATTTGGCCAACGTAAAAAATTTTACTCTCATATTGCCTCTCTTGTAACTTATGCAATGACTTTCCAAGGTAATCAAACACAACAGTCAATTTACTCATTATCTCCCTTACTACTACTTTTCACCATGCATATCTTCGTTTTCATATTTTTCTACGTCCACAGTTCTAACTTGTTGAAGCTTGACTTCATCTTAATTTAATCGTAGGGCTATACACTCAACAGAACAATGAAGGTATACTCACTATCATGCTAAACTGGAGTCGACATATTCAAAATTTAAAGCTTTCTGAATGTGACATGAAAAACTGCAAATGAACTCTAATGAAAAATTTGACAGACCATTTCAAAAATTTGTGATAGTTTTAACACCCCAAAAGTGGGGTGGGTGAACAAAACAAAACTAACCCCTCAACCAAGAGAGTAGTATGGTCTAGTACACATGGCACATGATAAAGATATCAATATCAATACTACAGCCTTTCCAGCACAGGTGCAAGACGATGCTCCAGCAGTGTTTATACTGTGTATCGACCCTTTGTTGCTCCTTTAGTTCTAGAATCATCCTGCAACAACTAGAGATGTAAGAATCATAGATATATATGCATTACATTAGTTAATCAAAATTTACAAGAACAAGTTTACATGGAAGTTATATGTTATCTTGTCGTTAACATCAATGATTTCCTTCCACTTCCTTCCGATGCTCATCTGCAAAATAAATTCCATAACAAAATAGGTCACATCAAAAGTTATGCCGAGTTTTGGCAAGGAATGTTGCACTTGTCTGTAGAATGGCGCCATGACAAATATGGCACTTAAATGATATGATATATTCACAAATTCCAGATGAAACAGTTACAAAATTACATTAACAGATATATAGACAAAATGTGAAAGGTTGTAGGGCAACTACCAAAATAAAAATATGTAGAAGATTGTTCACTAAAGCGTAGGAGTTGTGCATAAAACATCAGGCGGTTAGTAAGATGTGAGAAATCATAGATAAACGTTAAAAGTATAAAGCTGTATATGAATTCATCATTGATCTTTCTAGTACATTTTGTGTGCTTACAATTCTTGTCCACCACCCCCACCCCACACACACCTGAAATCTTCACTTGTATTAATCACACTACATTTGTTTCTTCCATTTTCACTCCAATTTAATTAACTGTGAACTAGGATTTCACCTACTTCCAATTTAGTAGCATGCCGTTCAAAAGTTGTAGACAACTGACCATGGATCTAGTTTATCCTTCCAAAACCATCGAGTAAATCAAATTTCAGTTAATATAGAATCTTCCTTCCCAAAGCCCATTATATAAAGTCACCAGAAACATAATCATCCCTTAAAAATATTATTATCACCACACTTCAAACCAATAAAGAGAGCTATTATCAATGTGAAAAATCTTTTGAATCATTACAATTAAAATATTCCTATAATAAAGTTAACATTCCAAATATTTCTAAACACACCACAACCAAAAGAATTTCTAACCATCAGCATAGGATAACAGTATACAGTCTAAACATCAACATGAAATAAATAAATAAGAATGTGAATGAATGCATGTGATATCAACATATCCGACATCAAAACATTTTAAGAAAAAAGCATTCCATCTAAAGTAGATATGAAATGAGTCAAATGGCCTATTGTGTTACTTTTGTATTAGGGTTAGTATTGTAAATGGGTAAAGGTTACCGTTTGTCCAACCATTTATCTTAAGCAAGGTGCTGTCAGCAGGAGCAGCTGGAGTGGACATAACAGAAGCAGAGCAGAGAATTGATGATTTACATGTGTATCAGTTTTAGTATTAATTATGTACGTATTATAAAATTATTTTAGATTTTACATTACATCTGCTATCTTGATTATAGTGGCTGTTCGCCATTAGCTATGTCATTGTAACATTATTTGGGGTAAGAGCTTCATATCACATTCTGCCATTAACTACTTTGAGAAAAACACAGAAGCACATGAAAAAGCATTCTAGAGTTGTGCTTATCTACATCATCAGTTGTGATGGCTTGCACTGCAAAGGAACTTCAATGATAAAATACTTCAATGGAAAGAGAAAGGAACATAACATGATAGAGTTTTTCCTTTAATAAACAAACAATATTGTATTAGCAAGACATCAGCATCGAAAGTGTAGAATGTAATATACATATTTGATGTATTTCAATTATTGGCTCCAAAAAAATTCCTAAAACCTTGGGAAGGACCAAAAGAAGTGATACTTTGAAGATAGGAAGAGCTAGAAGCATACTCAATGACAACTTCTACCAAATGTTTCAATGCTTTCCAGTGTCATTAAAAAATGGCCATGACAACACCATGGCAGATATTGCTCGTGGTTTCCTCCCAAATCGCCACAACCATAGCGAAAAATAACAGGTTCATGATGACAGGGCCATGGTGGCCATTACATTCCTAGCAGCCATGATGAAAATGGTAGTTTTTGAGCAAAAAAAGAGTTCAGCTCTGACCCAACCCGGTCCAAAGTAAGAGTTGCAAACCAAAACCGTAAAAACTCCAAATTTTTCCTTCCTTTCTCACAATCCTGTCTTTCTCTGTTCCAACAGCTCTTTCTTCTTCATCCTCACCTCTCTCTTCTGGAGCAACTGTCATTGTTGCATCTCTGAGTACTACTTTTTCCAATAGCTACGTTTTTTTGTTTTTTTACCTTTTTCCCTCTCCCTCTCCCACTTTCTTTGTTCTATGTTTTAAATTCATTTTATTTCAGCATTACCTATGACTTCCTTTTTTTTTTTCATTTTCCCTCTCCCACTTTCTTTGTTCTTTGTTTTAAATCATTTTTCTCTTTCTTTCCACAAAATAGTTCTTTATTTCAGCTTTTCTTAACATGACTAAACAAGAGTCTTCAAATTTGCCAAGAGCTTTTAATCATTCTGATCTGAGATGGAAATATGTCCATTCGTTCACAGATGGTGAAATAAATAACATTGTATGCAATTTTTGTGAAAAAGTTGAGTACAAGGATTCCAGAGTCAAAAAAACATCTAATTGGAAAGAAGGTTGATATGAAATCTTGCCCCAAGTGTCCAAAAGAAGTTAAGGAGCATGAGGCATATCACAAGGAGAAAAGGAGTCAAGACAACTTTGAAATTCCAAATGTGAGGGTCCTTGAAAGTAAAGGCTATGATGAAAGTGAAGATGAGCAAGATAGTTTAACACATAGTATTGCTATGAAAAATAAGAAGATTGATAAGAAAGGGCCAATGAACTTGTTTTATAGGAAACCATAAACTATCATTGACAAAAGAAAGAAGTTAAAACTAAGACAAACAAATATAAGAGAAGTATATGACAAGGAAGCAAAGACAATGGTCCATCAATACATAGTTCAATTTTAGTACAAGTTGGTTTTTCCTTTAACTTTATTAAATTGAAGAACTTTCAAGAAATGGTTAAAGTCATTGATGCCTTTGGTCCAAATTTGCTAGTTTCGAGTTATCACGATGTTCCACTTCTAAAGAAAAAGTTAGAATACATTGATTCTCCCTTAAAAAATCATAAGCAATAGTGCAAACATAGTTGTTCCATCATGTCAAATGCATAGACCGATCATAAGCAAAGATGCTTGAGTAATTTTTTAGTGAACTCTCTTGCGGGGACTATGTGAGGTCCATTAACGGAACTAATTTTGTAAATATTGATAAAAACCTATTTGATTCGCTTGATACTCTTGTGGAGAAGATTGAAGAGAATAAAGTTGTACAACTTATAACAAATAAACAACAACCAAACCTTATCTCACTAAGTGAGGTTGGTTACATAGATCACATGATACCATTGAGCTCTCAACTTATAGCAGATAATGGAAGCAGTTATGTCTTAACTAGTAAAATATTAGAAGAGAAAAAAAAATTGGATTGGACTCCTTATAAAGCTCATTACATAAACCGTATGCTTGAAGATATTGAAAAACTTTCCTTAAATAAGACAATTAATCTCTCTTGTTGGTTTTATCTAGTCATTTAAGTACCTTGAGTTTGTTGAAAAATTTTAAAGAAAAGACAAATCTTAAAAAAATGTTTACTTCTACGCAGTGATGTAAAAATAAATTCTCAAACAAAACTAAAGGAAAGCAAGCAACAAAAGTTATATTAATGACTTTATTTTAGAACTATGTAGTTTATACTCTCAAAATCATGGTCCCTCTTATTTGGGTGCTTCATTTGATTTATGGTAAGAAAAGACTAGTCATGGGATATATTGATGAAGTTATGAACAAGGCTAAAGAAGCCATTATTAAGTCTTTCAAAAATAATTAAAACAAATACAAAGATATGTTTGCAATTATTAAAAATAGATGGACTTGCCAACTTCATTGTCCCATTTATGCAACTGACCATATTTTTAAGTTTAAACCTGAAGTTCTTTCATGAAAACCCTCAAATAGAATTTGATTTGGAGGTTACAAATAGATTATATGATTGTATCAAGAGATTGGTGCCAGGTTAGGATGTGCAACAAAACATATTACTTGAACTTCTTGTTAATTTTTCAAAGACTTTAACATTTTAATTTCAAGTCAATTTAATATTAACATCTCTTAAGTTATAATTTATCTTTGGTTTTGTAGCTCAATACGGGTGAATGTATGGCCATTCAGCTCCAAATTTGTGTAACTATCAAAATTTTGAGCTTGACATGTAGTGCATTAAGATGTGAGTGCAACTAGAGTGTTTTTAGCAAATGATTTCTTAATCTCATTTCTCTTTTATTTTGATAGGCAATCCTTGTTGTACTTTCTTCTAGAAATTAGAAAGAAACTAATCTATATTTTTTCAATTATACTAACGTTGCAGTTGCAGATTCATTCAAAGAAGAAAGATAAGTTTGATCCCAAAAAATTGCATGATTTGGTTCATGTAAAATATAATCAACAATGCAAACAGCGTTTCAATCTTAAAAATGTAATTTATCCAATTATAGTCAATTATATTAGAAATGATTTAATTTTTTATGATGATAAGTTGATAACACTTTAAATTGGGAAACTGCTAATGAAGCTTATGGAGTTGAAGAGCCTAGAACATGTACTAGGTATCATTCTAAGAAACAAAAGAATTCATCAAATAGTATTACTATTAAAGCTAGAGAAGTTTTCATGTCATGTTCAACAACAGAAGGAAAAGAGAAAGTGATAATTGAAGATGGTGAAAATGAAGAACTAGAAGATGTAGATTGTAGACATGTTGGAGGAAATAAAAGATGAATTAAAAATTAATCTTCAAGACTTTGAAGGAGAAGACAAGAAAGGATATGCCTTAGTAGATGAAAAAAAAGATGACTATATTGGTATTAAAAGGAAGGACTAGATAATCAATCTCTATGCTTTTATTGTTTTCTATCACTTTGTTTTGTTAACTTGATATTTGATAACTTTTTATTATATTTCATTTCATTTTATTATGACCGTCATGCTTCTGCCGTCACCTATCATTCGTCATTGATAACATTGATGCTTTCGTATGCATACCATTATCTAGTCTCTAGATACTATAACAAGAAATCATATATAGCCAAGATAACAGAATACACATAAAGTTGCAAGTTCCATTCACAAGATATTAACAAACCTGGGCAGCCTCATTTGCTGCTGTCTTTGTCCACAATGAAAGTTTGTCCTGCCACTGGCGCACACTTGCAACCACACCACATATGTCCTCGGCATCCTCAAATTGTTCCCCAATCAAAGCCATCAGCTATTCAGTAGGAACACCATAAAATAACCATTAAGAACAACATCAGATAAACAAAAGATCTCCAGATATTATTTAAACACAAAAACGAAACAGGTCAGCAATAAAAAGAAATTACAGTTTCAAGCCACATGTTATCAAGGTTAGCCTTCCTGCTGCTGTTGTTAGTGACAGTCCACTTTCCACCACTGGCACACTCAGGATCTTCCCATTTCGGTTCAATTCCAGCTTTAAACAAGTGGAAGTCCGCATTGTTTTGCAACTTGCTGGGCTTGAATATCTGATCATACAGACTACAGCAAAATTTTCCACATCACAAAATCATCAAATTTCCAGCAATATTTACCAAAACCTGATTTTTACACTCACAAGTTAAAATAAATAAATAAGCCTTTATTCTCTGTATATACAATATTTTCCCAACAACAACAAAAGATTAAGACCCTTTAAGGGTTTCCCCACTAAGATCCATAAAAATCCTCCCTTTTTTGCTCAAAAACTGATTGCTCCAACAGTAATAATATTACTATGGAAATTTTTACACTCATGTTTCTCTAAATATGGAAATTTTTAACAAAGTCCAACAAAAGGATAGGATCCTTTAAGGGTTTTTCTCCTAAGATCCATAAAAAACCTTTATTTTTAATCAGTGGCATCAATCAAATCTATCAGAATTAAACACAGGATTTCAGATTGCATATTTAAATTCCATTTTTAAAATAACGGAAAACGGGAAAAAGAGACAGACATACCACCAGAACTCTTCGACGGTTTCGAAGGTGTAAACCTTGCGAAGTGAGGTTCCCCAAGCAGCACCTTGTTTGGGTTTGGATTGGTTGTCGAACCAGAACGTCCATTTCCTCTCCAGTTTGTGCTTCAAACCTGTCTCCGGCACTGACCCCGGCGCCACCGTAACCGCTTCCGCCACTGCTTCGGTCGTTGCCATTCTCTCTCTCTCTCTCTCTCTCTCTCTCTGCCAACAACCTCAATGGTTAATACTTGGATGGTTTTAGGGCTTTGTAATTGGACCCTAATGGCCCAACAATGTTTGAGGATGAAAAAACGTTTAAGATGATTTAAGACTCTCCCCTTTCTGATATGATAAATGGATATTACTTTTCTTTGTTTTTTTTTTACTTACATTATTTCTAACTACACAAATATGCATGAATGTTCCAGTTTCCTTAGTTCCTATAATTATTTTATTCTATTTTTAACTCTGTTATTATTAACATAATTATTAATATACTAGTGTAAACTTCCTTGCATTAATAATTTATAATATTAAATTTTCAATTTTTTTAATTAAAAAATTATAAAATAAATTTAAATTATTTAATAATTTAATTACATATATTTATCATATAAATATATAACAGATTAAATATACATTAGTGATTATATATTATTTATTATTATTAATATAAATATAATTATTTTTTACTATTTGTTAAAGAAATTAATTTAATAATATAAATAAATAAATTATTTTTTACTATTCAAATAAAATATATTTTGATCATATTATTTTAGAATAATATAAATAAAATTAAGATTATTATAATTATTAAAGTAAGCGTTGTTATTTTGTTATAAAATAAAAAAATTTATTATTAAAAATTATTTGTTAATAATGTATGATATATAATGTAATAATGTATATTTTGTTAATAATTTTTACTTAAAACATATATTTATATAGCAAAATTTTGTCACATAAAAATATAACAGATTAAATATACATAGATCGTTATATGATAGTAATCATTATTAATATAAATGTAATTATTTTTTTACTATTTAATAAAGAAATTAATTAAAAAAATTATATTAATATTACTAATATTTAAAAGATGACATTATTATTATTAATTTTATTGTATTATAAGATTATTATGATTATTAAAGTAAGTATTGTTATTTTGTCATAAAATAAAAAAGAATATTTGTTAATAATGTATAATATATAATATAATAATGAATATTTTATTATGCAATGCATGAAATAGTTTATAATATTTAATATTTTTTATTAGCTTAATTCAATAAAATAGAAGATAATAAAAAATACTTTGATTATAATAAAAAATTAACAATTTTTTACATTAAATTTATTAAAAAATATATATTATATATATTATTCTAATTTTCTCAAATAAATATTTATATTAACGTAAATATTACTTTCCATGATATATAATTGTTTGTTTAAATAATGTAAATATTTATATTAATTTTTTAACTTCTTATTTTATATAAAAGAGATTATTATAAATAAAAATTTACAAATTAAAATATATAATAATATTATTTATATTTTAAAAAATCTGTCCATTGAAAAGATAAATAATAGAACTTAATAAATGAATGTGTTAGCTTTTCTATAAAATTAAGTGTATTTAATTATTAGTATAAAAAAATTGATCTAAATTATTTTAATATACTAACACATTGTTAATCATAATTTTTACATGATTTAATTATATTTTCATTTTAAAATTTAAAATTAAAATAAACTAAATAAAATTTGACATGTAGCAAGTTATAATTTATTATTAAATTTAATATTGTTAATATTTTTTATTACCTTAATTCAACAACATAAAAAATAATAAATAAAACTTTGATTAAAATAAAAATATTAACACTTTTTGTCATCAACTTTATTAAAATATGTATATTATATATATTATGTTAATTTTATCAAATAAATATTTATATTAATATAAATATTTTTTTCTGCTATATTTCTTCCTATGTGTTGTTTGTTTAAATAATATAAATTTATTGAGATCTTATTTTATATAAAAGAGATTATTTTAGCAAAAAATAAATAAATATAAAAGAGATTATTAACAATAGTAATATTCATTAAACCATATATAAAAAATTTCATTGTAGTTAACATTCATACAAACTAAATGTACATAGAATTCATTTAAGAAAAAAATTGAAAAAAAAATTACAATCATCATAATATTTACATAAGTTATAAACTAAGATCTTGAAAAGAAATATCTAAAGTTGCATGTTTGAATCATCAAATATAAAAATACATTTGTCTCCTTTTCTAAATTTGTTCAACATGCAAAATTATTTCTATCCATTTGATATTAGATTTACAGTAAATTAGAATTTTGTACACAACTGCTATTTGATTCGAACTGCATAACTTCCAAACTTCGTTCTTACCAATTACAAATTTTGCAAGCATAAATATCTAACAATCTGAAAATGCTAATTGACTTTTAGTAGTATGATAACGAGTTAATGCAATTGAATGAAAAAACTCTAAGAATCTAAAGTCTTTACTTCTATTTTAACTTTATCAATCGTATACTAATATCTGTTTAAATATTAGTATATAAAACAATTTTTTTAACTAATATTTTAAAAATATGTATAATAATCACTTCATATATTAGTATATAAAACATATGCTATAGTGAAGAAATAATTAATTTCATTTTCAACATTATCTTGTCAAACTCGTTAAATACACAAAACAATTTCATTTAACAGATTGAATTCATTGCAAAATACAATGGCAAGAAAGCGTTAAAAATATGCATTATAAAATCATTTTAGAAAAAATAAAGATGTAAAGAAATAATGGTCAACCTTAAATTTAAATTTACATTACTCAACAATAATAAAATAACTATGTTTTTAGAACAACATAATATTGCAGACAGAAAGTAAAGAACAAAGACAAAAAAAAAATATTAAAGATGTGTAAGCAATCAAAATATAAAAAAATATAATAATAAAAAAATAAAAAAATACACAAAAAGATCATACCTGAGTTTAGTTAACATTTATTAATGTTTATTCCTGCTAAACAATAGAAAAATGCATAACAAATGCGTGTAAGCAATCAAAATGTAAAAAAAGCATAACAATGGAAAAAATAAAAATAAATAAAAAATGCATAATAAAGGTCATACTTTTATTTCCTTAATTAATCTATATTAATGTTTATTCCTGCCAAAAAGTAGAAAAATTCATAACAAAAGTATGTAAGTAATCAATACTATATACATATTATATAAAACAAAAACAAAGTAATGAATAATAATAAAAAGAAAGAAGAGTGAACCAAAGTGGAGATGATACTCGAGCTTGTTCTTGTCAAGCAATGGAAAAATGCATAACAATGGTATGTAAGCAATCAAAATATAAAAAAATGATAATGCTATATAAATCATATAAAGGAAAAATGAAGTAATAAAAAATGAAAGAGGAAGAAGAAGTATGAACGATACATGAAGGTGTAAGAAAAAAATGGAGATGATACCTGAGTTTGCTTTCTTAAGCTTTTCTTCTATTCAAATGCAAGATTTATCGTCAAGGATGCAAAATAGCGGAGTCGCAAAGTACACAAAACTAATAATAAAAAAAATGAGTTGAGAGAGGTTGCTGGTGGTGGTGCTGAGAGAATGTATTTATTTATTATGGTATTGATACAGTTACAGTGTAAATAAGAATAAACCAAACATGAATACATAAAAAAATAAAATATAAACTACACCTAACTTACATTGGTTAATATTTTTTTCTATTTATCTACAAGGTTTGTAAATGTGAAAGAAAAAGCAATGGAGTCAGACACACCAAAATAATTTCAAACAATGTGAAGAAAGAAGAACAAAATATAAAGACACAATAAAGCAAAATACAAATGATACCTAACTTCATTGCTTAACTTTTCTTTTATTCACCTACAAATGTTTGTAATGGTAGACAGAAGTACTTCAAGACTGCAAAGTACATAAAATTGATTTCAAATTTATACTATAGGAAAAGAATATAAAAATCATGCGTAATATTACCTTGTGAAAGAAAAAGGAATGGAGTCAGGCACACCAAATTGATTTGAAACAATGTGAAGAAGGAAAAACAAAATATAAAGACACGATAAAGCAAAATGTAAATGATACCTGACTTCATTGCTTAACTTTTCTTTATTTACCTGTAAATGTTTGTAATGGTAGGTAGAAGTACTGCAAGACTGCAAAGTACATAAAGCTGATTTCAAATTTATACTATAGGAAAAGAATATAAAAATTATGCATAATGTTACCTTGTAATTTCATTTGAAAAATTCTTTGCAAAAGTAGAAGGCAAGAAAACGTTGAAAGGAAAGTTCATAGTAAAATCATTTGATAGAACCTAATATGTAAAATCAATGTAAAGAAGGGTAAACAAAATATGAAGTAATAAAACAAGGGATAACCAATATGATGACAGAAGAAATAAAACTCACTGGTTACCTCTTTTTTTTATTCACTTACAAAGGTTTGTAATGGTAGGCAGAAAGAACTTCAATACCACAAAGCACATAAAACTGATTTCAAATTTTCAATAAATTGTTTAGTGGTAGGTTTTATTTATTTTTTGTGTTTTCATTGGGTTTTCTTTCCTCTGGAAATTATTGGAATGGGTTCCAATATATCTTGCCAATATAGCATGCCAGTATAGAAAATGACAAATAATAAATGACATTGTCAGGATGTAATTATTAGTTTTTTATAATTTGAAATTTGAAATCTGAAGTAGAATGAAGTTTCTAAGAATAGAAAGGGATAAAGAAGAGTGTTGGAGAAGCTTTTCATGAGGTGCTGACACCTCATCAAACTTTTCACAAAATGGTACTCAATTGTATATATTATAGATATACTTATAATGCTTAACGTGGTATCCATAAACTTGAGAGAAAATATACCATTTTTAAATTAACAGTTGTGATTTTTCTAATATCTCAAAGATAAAAAAAAATATTAACATATTTGTGAATTAAATCATTAATTTCATTATCTATCAATTTAAAATTAACGGCCAGAATTTTCAAATTAATAGTTGTGATTTCTTTAATATCTCAAAGATAAGAGGATATTAACATATTTGTAAATTAAACCACTAACTTCATTATTTATCAAATTAAAATTAATAGTCAGAATTATTCAACATGTAAGAGAATATTAAACTCTCTTAGTTACAAAGAGTATCATAAATTACATATCTGTTCATTATCCTTTTTCATCCTCTTC